GTGTTCAATAATTCATCAGTTGCATATAACACCCAGTGCTCATACCATCACGTGCCCTCCTTAATGCCCATCACCCAGTTACCCCATCGTTCCACCCACCTCCCTTCCAGAAACCCTCAGTTTGTTTCCTGTAGGTAAGAGTCTCTCATGGTCTGTCTCCCTCTCTGATTTCTTCCCATTCAGTTTTCCCTCCCTTCCCCTGTGGTCCTCTGTGCTGTTCCTTATGTTCCACATATGAGTGAAACCATATGATAATTGTCTTTCTCTGCTTGACTTATTTCACTCAGCATAATACCTTCCAGTTCCATCCACATCGATGTAAATGGTAAGATTTCATCCTTTCTGATGGCTGCATAATATTCCATTGTATATATGAACCACATCTTCTTTATCTATTCCTCTGTCGATGGACATCTTGGCTCATTCCATAGTATGGCTATTGTGGACATTGCTGCTATAAACATCGGGGTGCACGTACCCCTTTGGATCCCTACATTTGTATCTTTGGGGTAAATACCCAGTAGTGCAATGTAGACCCATACATTTTAAAAGAGACTTCAAATAATTTAGCAATATAATTTGTCAATAGCCTTGATAGTTCTGCTAATAGTATCTGAGATTATCCCCATTTATCAGAATGAAATTTGAAGAAAATAAGAGTGACCTACTTCACTGGAAGGATTAGGAATAAGAAAGAGATGAAGAGATATCTTCTTATTTAGTCTGCTTCTGTATATGCTAGACCAGGACACAGTGATCCTGTTTTTCATTCCACAGGATAACAGAAGAGCAACATTTTTGGGGAAATTCATGACTTTTAAAGTCAGTTGTGCTCTAAAAAATACTATTTTCAGCATAATTATTTAATGTGGAAGGAATGTGGTTACATGTGATTTATAATGTGTAGCATGCAAGGGCACTTTCTTTTCTAAAACATTTTCTTTTTTTTAAGATTTTATATATTTTTTTGAGAGAGAGAGGGCATGGGAGTGAGGGGGACAGAGGGAGAGGCAGAGGGGTAGTGAGAGAGGGAGAGGGAGAAGCAGACTCTGCGCTGAGCCCAACACAGGGCTCGATCCCACAACCCTGGGGTCATGACCTGAGCTGTAACCAAGAGTCGGAAGCTCAACCGACTGAGCCACCCAGGGGCCCCTCTGAAACAAATTCTTGAGAAAGATAATTTTAGAAGTTGTCTGCACAGTTCCTGACTCTATCCCTGCTCTGTCTTCTAGTACTGTAACATAGAAAACGCCGCTGATTTATACAAATAAAAGACGTTACCATCAAGATTTAAAAACATATATTATTATCCACATAGGCACAAAGAAAAATCTCACCGGTAACTTGAGTTGGCAGACACATATCTAGTCTCTGCCTGTCTTGGTGCCTTTCTTTTGTTGTTTTAGGCACATTGATGATGAAAGGGCTTGTTAGTCTTCCTTTCTTATTTCTCACATTTCAGGAATCAACGTGTCTGATACATACATGGTTTAGATGGACTAAAGATTTAAAGATTGAAATTTATGAAGGGGAGGAAGGCTTGGAGCTTAAGGCACATGGATGGGTACTATTGCACCATTGGATCAGTTGTGTTTTTGAAGCTCTTTAGAAATTAAATTGCTGGGAAATTTCACTTAGGAATGGTACATTTTATAGAATGGGTTGCTAGATTGTTAAAATGTTACTGATCTCAGTGTACTCATTTTCAACATTTTTGATTGCTGTTTTCAGTAGTTGATTTTTGGTAGTCTCCTTTTAATATGATTAAAAGCTGACTTATTTATGGAGTCCTGTTAATTAATGTATGTCAAACTCTCTTACTGTGGGGCTGTGGTGGGGCAGACTTCCTAACCTTTAGAATCCTGCTGGGAAACTTCCAAATCCAAGTATGCGATTGTTCCACGGACATTCTCCCAGCCACTGTCTGCACATCTGCCTTCTCTTGCTACTTTTTACCATACCTAAGACTTGTGAAACGACATAATTGTCTCCATCATCCTCACTCTTTATGCCAAATGACTGAGAACACACTTGGCATCAGGTGATAAGAGAGGGGACCTCAGATCTGGCTACAGATATTTAGACTGAGGGATGTTGTCGAGAACTATTTTCTGAATGGAACAAAGCTAGGCACTATATCTGTCCACGTGCAGTTCCTTTCCTGGATTTAGCTTTTATTTTGAGCACAGTCTTATTGTCTGTTTCTTTGATACTCAGGAAGACTCATCCAAGAGTGTGTTTTTGTCATTGTGATTTCTTATAAAGGATGAGGGATTCAGATCAGGGAGGGGCTGTGTTCTCAAGGCCTCCATGGCAACCTTTGGCATATCTGCCAGGCCCCCACTTAATGCAGTAGAAGCCCCTGTAAGTCCCGTACTGTCTTAGAGGACCACACGTGAGGACCAGTACTTGCAGCTAAGGCAATGTTGCATAATAGAAAAAGTAAAGGCTTGCTTTTCCTTTTTCACTCCAGAGCTTTGGTTTTAAAGTCAGGAAAATCCTGGCTTTAGCATGTACTAGTAGGGTGCACTAGTAGGGAGGTTTCTTAACCCCTTAGAGCCTCACTTTCCCCATTTGTAGAATGGGAATATTAACACATATGCACAGCGTTGTTGTGGGGACTGAATGAGTTTGTATGTAACGCAGCTAGACAGTGTTGGCACAGTGTAGTTGTGCAGTTGGTGTCCCTTGTCTGTCTTCTAATAGAGGCTGTGTCCAGTTGAACACACCCACTTCTCCCTAATGGACCTTCCGTTTACCTTCACTAATTTTCCATGATGCTAATTCGCCTTCCACCCCCATCTCTAAGGGAGTCTTGTCAGTGGTTCTGCCTTCCTGTCTCTTTCCTTTTCCGTCACTAGCTTGAGATGACTGCTTTCTGGGGGAACATGATGTTTGGAACTGCTAAAGAGACAACGTACTTCCCAGAGCCAGGGATTGGGTTTTTAATGAGTTCTTTCACTAGGAAAAGAGGGAGGCGCTGGGCCATCCCGTGGCTCTTACCCTGCAGTTTGGCATTGCTAGGGCCAGGCACTTAGAAGCTGGATGAATGTGGACTACTGTGTGTGGATGAAAAAACCGTGAATGTTTCTCTTCAAGTTGCTGGAGAGAGAAGTACAAATTAGATTATTAATGATCATATGGAGGTATGAGCTGACAGTCTATTTAGTTTCATTATTAAAACAAGTGTGGTTTTGGACGATGTGGATGTTTCCCCTTTTTATTTAGATGGCAAAGAATATTCATTAAGGGTATCAATAAAGACCCTGTCAATGATTTAGCCTCCAAAGCTGCCCCCTGCATGCTAAAAGACAGAAAAGAAAATTTAAGTGGTTGAGAATGAGAATGTGAGATTGGAAGCCAAATTATAAACTCATTTCAACTCCTGGCCTGCAGGCGCTGGAATAACATTATTTGTTGTCAAGGATGGAAAACAACTCCGATCCAGGTCCAAGTGATTATTCCACTTTGGCATTGCTGCCTTTCTGCCAACAGCAATTCCATTTGGACATAGATTAATTAGCCAGGCAGGGACGGAAGTGTGGCTGGTGAGAGCAAAGCCCGAAGAGGCAGAGCTGCAGCCCCGAGTCGCAGTGGAGGGCACCGCTCTGGGCCCCGAGGGGATGAGAGGACGGCCGCAGGCTGGCCCAACCCGCTTGAACCTTACACCCACAGTAAACTGGGAAGAGGGTGCCGATCCAAATGGACTCGGAGTTGTACGGACTGTTAATGGCGATGCCTCAGAGAAAACCTTCAAACTTAGGTGCGGGAAGAAGCAAAAATGTGACAGATCCGCTGTAGACACATCCGCTGTCCCCATGGAGAAAGGACAAGCGGTGGCAGGCCCGAGGGGCTTCGCAGTCTTGTCTCTGGCATTCTGGACTTTTTTTATTCCTGCATGTGAAATGGGAACAGTAGTGTTTACTTTTTGCTGTTACTTGAATTATAAAGACACATGAGACAAGATCATGAACACTTGGGAAAAATGACTCTGTTAATTAATCGAAGCTAGCATTGATGTAGTTATTAACACTTCTTTAGCAGGAGGGCGTAGTCCCTTTCCAGAATATTTTCCCTGCCTTTGCTTCCAAAGTGTTTTGCTTGTACCTCTTTTCCATCTGCTTTTATCTTCGTTGACACATCTGTGGCCTCCAGTGGAATTCCTTTTAAAGGCAGGGATGGCGTGGGGCGGTCGCCGTTCCCGCCGTGCCGCACTCGCCCTGCGCAGCCGGGAGCGCGAAGGCGGCTGGCGGCGCAGGCGGGCGGAGACCCGGGACCCGCGGGGCCGTGCGCGCGCCCCCCTCCCCGCCGCGCTCGCGGGACAGCGCTATAGCCGCGCGCGGGCCCCGGGGGGGTCAGACTGGGGACGCGCGCTCCGGGAGCGGGGCTTTCCCGGCGGCCCGGGACCCTTTGGAAGCGTGTGCACCCTTTCCGTCCCTCGGGCAAAACTTCCCGGAGGATTTGCTCTTCTCTAACATTTCATTCCATGAAAATTAAAAAAAAAAAAAAAAAAAAAAAAGTGGCGCTGCATGCGGTCCTTGCAGAGGGGGGCAGCACTTTCACTCCTGACCCCAACCTGGAAGCCCGAGTGACTTCAGAGCTGATAGAGCATGAAAGCCTGCAAGCCTGCAAGCCGAGCCGCGAGTTCAGAAGCAGCGCGTGGGCCCCGGGCACGTTTCTTTCTGGCGAGGTTTGTTTTTTGGGGGGAGGTTCCTTCTCAAGTCAGTGTGCTTGCTTTCATGCACACTTCTATAGGGCTTTCGCCATTTATTTTAAACCTTGGTGTGTGTGTGTGTGTGTGTGTGTGTGTAAATAAACATTTTGTATTTTACCATTAAAATAGGGAGTGGAGAAATACCATCCTGCAATTTGGGGATGAATTGTATTTTATATCCTAAGTGATTTAGATTTCTACCATTTTGTAATATCACCTAGAGCGGAGACATGGAAATTCACAGGGGCTCCTACTTCTTACTTTCTTTTATTTTTTTATGTTTTAGATTCCTTTCCGTTTCGAGGAAAGAAACCAAGGTATTTTTACCCAGAGGAGGAATGATGTAGTTCCAACCTAACCTCCTTTTCTTACTTACAGGTAAGTGAGTCTCTTCATCATAGATTACTCAAGAAATGAACTTTGGTATGGTCTGAGTTGTAGTCAGTATTCTGGCTATCTTTGAAATGTGTTAAATTTCATTTTACTTTCAACAGTGTGATTAACAACAAATTATTATTTTAAGATATGAATACTTTTTCAAAGTAATTCAGTTATTTGGCTGCCTTGAATCTTTTTTATTCACTTTGTAAAGCCTATAATCTACATTTAATGTTACCAACTTCTTTAGAATTTATCCCTTCTCACCGTGGCAAATGACTTAAGCCAATAATGAAGTTAGAAGAATTACATAATTCTTCTTAAAAAAAAATATTCACTTGAATAGGAACATTTGTTCTCCTCTTGGAAGTTGTGACAGACTATTAAGCTTTCTCAAATATTTAGCCCATAATCAAATGGGCACCATAATTTTGACCATGCTACAAAATATTTCTTTAAGTAAAATGGTTTAGGAAATTGAATAATGATCTTCCTTTCTAACTTGTATCTTAGGGGTATACTTTCTAGAATCTTGGAGAATAGTACCCCAGTGGATTATATAGTTGGTTTTCATCTGGGGACAAACGTGAAACTCTGGAACGTTGTTTTAGTTCTGCTCTTATAACCAGTAATTTTGAGTTTCTCTGCGATAAGATATTTTATTACATTTGGCAAGACTAAACTTTAAAAAAAAAGCAAGAACCTTAGGGACATCATTAATATTGAAGGGCAACAGTATGAAATCTGAAGTTGTATACATGGTTTCTGTCTTCAGCAGAGCAAACCTTTTCTAATTTTCTTTAGAAATGGCTCAACAGACGTAAAAGTAAAACTAGGTAAGCTGTACTCAGCATATGCATATCTTCAAGAAGCTCCTCTCACCTTTTTCCTCTTCACTTAACAGATTTCTGTAGAGGTTTTGTTCAGGATTTTTGTTTTGTTTTGTTTTTACTTCTGTCACACCGATTAAAATGAAAGAATGGAAGTCAAAGCATCTGATTTGATTTTACATTAATGAACTGCTTTGCATTAAAACAATAGAGTGTGCAGAGTGTAAAAGGGATTGTAACTGAGTTACTATAAATAGAAAAATAAAAATGACCTTGGCCAAAAGTTAATAATACAAACAAAAATAAAAGAATAATTCTTCACAAATTCTTTTCTGAGTAGAAAGTCAAGTGCCTATCAGGCCTAAGTTCAGGGCCTCAAGTTCAGGGCCAACTTGAGGGATATACAAAATTACTCTGATCTTTGGTCTTGGGATGTTTCATGTTTTTGAGGATGACTTGGACGATGTAGAAGAGAACAATGTCAGTAGAACACCATGTAGACCCTAATTATTAAAACCTTGAGATAATAGTAGAAAAAAGCCAAGTCAACTTTACAAAATAGAGAAGCAGTAAAAAGCTGAGTAAGGTCTGCTTGGACAAATGCAAAGTTATAGGATGTTTGTGCTCTAGTCCAAGGCTATTAGAGTAGCAAGATGGGGAATGCTTGGGTGGCCAAAGGGCAGAGCAGTAGCCCGAGCTGGGTTTTAATGGTGGTCACAGTGCTGCGGATCCCTGGGCAGAGACATGGGAAGTTGCTGAGGAGCCGAGCCTGCACCTGGGCAGTACCAACTTGGGAAAGCCAGCCTTCCAGGAACTTCCCTTTACAGACTGAGGCTGTTATAGACTCAGGGACTTGAATATCCTTCAGCAGTAGACCTTCCCCAGACTTGCAAAAAACAAACGTGTGATTTGGGAAAAGAGTGACTGGGTTGTGTTCTCCCTCTGGTCGACAGACACGCCACACCAACGTCCGGTGACCATGGAGTCCAGGCGAGGACAGTTCACTATTTGATTCAAATATTTAATAGCATCAGGCCATAAAAGGTTTGCAATAAGGATGTCCTGGCGTCACAGACACATCCTTCGCAGAGCCCGTGGCCTCACCACCGCTCCTTTCCTGTCCGTTGCTGCCCACCATGTTTTCAGCCCTACTCTGTGCCCTGTTGATAGTTCCTGTCTCTCCCTACCCAGAAGTGTGTCCGCATTGCCACACATACTAATTCCTCTCCTCCCGACGAGGGAAAGGTGTGCTCTGGGCTGTACCCTCTCATCTCCACCTTCTGCCCCTCCCCCACTCCCCGGGGGGGGAAGTCCTGGAAGCTGTGCTGGTCTTCACGCTCCTCTTTCTACCCGCCATACTTCTTCCTGGCCACTCTCGTGGGGAACTTCTCTCACCCTTCAGCACCAATGCCTCCGATGAGCACTGCCAGCACTCAGAAACAGCTCCTAGGAGGCCCTGACGACAGGAGTGAAAGGGCCAGTCAGTATGTGGAAGAGTGAAGACCTGCAGATGCCTCCTCGGTCCCCAGCCCCTGGCTGATGCTCCTGCATGGTCAACACTGTGTGTCCCAGGGTCTCTCACACCCTCCTCCGAGCAGGGCACAGGACTTTCTGCTCTCATTTGGTGGTCTAGTCTATTCCTTGGGCAGTGTCTGCGGAGTGGAAACTCTCTTTGTAGACAGATAACCTTGTAGGTCCTTTACAGTTCTGGGAGCTCTTGAAATGTGATGACCAGATAACATAAAATGGTAGCTGATTCAGTCTTTTTTGGGATGAAGTGGGCATGATAAGTAAATACTAATATGAAGCTGTGATATAGGAACTTGGCATGTTGCTCATATTTGAAAAACAAGAGGATTAAGTAGAGCAGTTTGTGTTTTATGAATTTTTGGATATGTTTTCAGCTTTTAAAATATTTCCATTTAATGGCATGAAGTGTGACACAAAGTCCGTAAGCTTTTAATGAGTGTCAGCTTTTGCCGCTACAATTTTAATTTATACTCCTGAGCCACAATTTGTTTTCAGCAGATGAAGCTACTCCAGGCAAGCCAGGGCTGGGAGACTCACACTGGCACCAGAATGGGTACCCAGCGATGCATGCCTTCTAGTGGGTTTTCATTTCTTTCTGTTGATTGACACTTAATTAGGCCTTGTGTTTTGTCTTTTCTGTTCTCTTTTGGGGCTCTGCTTATTGAGATCCCCTTTCCATCAAGTTAGTTTCTCTGTTCCAAGCCTGTACTCCAGCCTCTCACATCCGTGTCTGGTTCTGCTGTCCCAGACTCCCTTCCTTTCTGGGCCTTGGCTCTGGAAAGCCCGTCCTGAGCCCCAGCGACCGAGGGGCTGGGCCGTTGTGCCTCTATCACCTTATTTCCCCCACTGTTTACAGCCGTTTACCAGTGGGACAGCTGTCCTGGGGCCCAGCATTGTCCTCACAGGAGGCACCGTCTGCATTTTTAGCACCTAGCCTATATTTGTCCTTACTCATAGTGACAAGCAATGTTTGGATGACTCTCTGGTATCGAAAACCCTCATCAGAACCTAGTAATGTCAGTATTTTAATTTGCTGAGTGCTACGTCGTATACCTACCTTTCCTTTGCCTTCTTCATTTATTTTAACGTGTATATTTTTGGAGCTACCACGGAGGTGGCGGGGGGAGGGATTTGAACCCAGGTGTTCGGACTCCAGCACCAGTGCTTGCTTAGTTTCATCTGTTTGAAACTTAAGTCAGAGAAGGTTGGCCACAACCCACGTGTCCAACCACAGATGAGCAGATGAACAAAATGTGGAATATACATATCGAGGAATAGCATTCTACCTCAGAAAGGAGGGAGGTTGTGCCACATGCTGCAACATGGATGAACTGTGAGGACGGGATGTGGAGGGAAATAAGCCAGCTACAAAAAAAGACAAACTGTTGTATGCCTCAGCTGGCATGAGGTATCTGGAGTCTTCACATTCATAAGGACAGGAAGTGGAATGGTGGTGGCAAGGGGCGGGGCGTGGGGAGAATGCAGCGTCTAATTGGTAGAGTTTTCATTTTGTGAGATGGAAACTTCTAGGGACTGTTGAACAACACTGTGAATGTATTGAATACTACCGAACCATATACTTAAAAACCACTGAGACGGCAGGGGCCCTGGGTGGCTCCGCCAGTTAAGTGTCAGACTCTTGCTTTCAGCTCAGGTCGTGGTGTCAGGGCCCTGGGATCGGGGCCCCTGCGGCAGGAGCTGTGCTCAGCGCGGAGCCTGCTTGCCCCTCTCCCTTTGTTCCTCCTCATGCTCTTTCTCTCTCTCTCTCTCTTTCTCTTGAATAGATAAATAAAAAAAAAAATCTTAAAAAAAATCATTGAGATGGTGAATTTTATGTCATATGTATCTTACCAAATTGAAAATAAAAAAAAGTAAGTCAAAGACCTTGCTTTTAAAAAAGATGATTCTTTGAAAGTACAAAAAAATTGAATTTCTTTGATTTGGGGACTTTTCCTTCCTTATGCTTTATTTTTCGTTTGCTCAGATCTTTAAATCACTTTTTATTTAAATATGTATTATGTAGTAAAAACAACTGGATTCACAATGATAAGGTCTTTGGGATTTACTTCCAGACCTTGTTATTCCCTTTCTTATCTTTGCCTACATTTGCAGTTAAAATCTGATTCAAAATTACCCACTTTCTCACCTGTTTTTCTTCAGTAAAGATAATAGGATCTTCCTGCTCATCTGGAAATACTTGTATGACACTTAAAAAATTACTTGTATGATTAAGGACAGAAATGTTCGTTCTGTCACAAGCAGAGGACATGACAGACTCCAGGCTTTCATTTGATTGCTCATGAGAGCCAGCTACTTCAGTCTTTTTTTTCCATCACACGAATGGACCTTTTATGTGGAAAATCATGACTCTAAAACTGTAAATAACACTCTGGTGCTTGAAAGAGCACAATTTCAAGATGTTCAGCTGACACCTAGGAAGCAGCTCTCTTTTTTACTCAAAGGTTCTGACCCAGTGTGTAATATCTTTCCTGAAGAATTTAAAAAGAAACTCGAATCCTGTCAGCCTAGGGACATGTTTGTGGAGAAGGGAAGGCAAGAATCTGATTGAGGAGCTATGTGTAAAGGTTTGAGGGGAAAGTGGGGATGAAAATTAGAGGTGGAGGTGGGCACAGGAATGAA